TTTTTTTTTTACAAGGATGTCCTGGGAATCACCTCCAGCTCCTGCCACTCTCACTAGTTCCTCATTGTCTTTCCCCAGGTGAGACTAAAAGCTTGTTTGGCGTATTCGCCAGTCGCTCTCTGGTTTTGGAACTGCATATAATCGTTTCATCCCGTGGTGCTTTTTGGATCTTATCAGCTCCTCTCTGGTTCATGTTATTGGCCTGGATGAGGGGCAACCGACCCGTTGCCTATCTTTTCCACACGTTCTTGGGCACGGGGTGGATCATCACAACCTGTGGCTGCTGGATCAGGCTCCCCAAACAGATTACACCCCGGCTCCCTCACATGTTCACATGGATCTGGTGAATACTAGATCGCTAGCCAACGAGATCTTTATTCTATAGGATTTCTTCACCTCTCGCAGTCTGGATTTTTTTATTTATAAATGAAACATAGATGAACTCTGGTGAGTCCAGTGCTTTTTGTGAACTCTTGCCACTGAACAGTACCTACTTCAACTCTCCGAGGATGACCGGTTGTGGAGGTGGAATAGTGACTGTTTACAGAGGCCACACTTTTGATCTTGTTTTAGCTCATGGTTTTAATGATTTTAATGTGGAAGTCTGTGACGCAGCTTTTTCAGACCACCAGATGTTGTGTTTGACATGCCACTGTTCTCACTCTTCTCTCTTGCCTCAATCTGGATGGTCTCCAGCTGTCCGCCTGAGCTCTTGCCTCACTATGGACGATCTCCTGGACGTCCACCCAAACTTTTGTCCCGTGCTGAACGGTCTCCCTGCCTTCCTCCTGAGCTCTTTGAATTTTTGTGTTCTTCTGTGTTTTGAGATTTTCCAGGACATATCCTGTTGGTTTTTGATCTTTGTGTCCTCTGTCTTGGTTTTTCCTCCTCCACTCACCCAGTTTGACTCTTGTATCCTTTGAGATGTCAAGAGCCATCCTTTGATGGGGGTGGGGGGGGGGGGGGGGGTACTGAGAGAATCTGTGTTTATTTAAGTGTATTAGAACTAAAACACAAGGTACTCAACTTCTAAACCTGTTTCCTTGTGTCATCTGTTCATCTGTCCTACTGTGTTTCCCTCATGTAATCAGCTTGCACCTGCCACTCTCACCTGTTCCTCATTGTCTATCCCCAGACAATAATCATTGTCATCATTTTCTCTTTTAGTTCATGTCATTTTTTTTCTTCCCCATCTGTGGATTGTGCTCCCAAGCATGCCATGCTCTGTCTTCCTCTGTGTCACCTTGCTCCTCCTATTTATGTAAGTTTTGTGCCACGTCAGCCTTTGTTTGGTTTTGATTTTTTGTTAATAAATTAGACATTATTCATTTTATCTTGGCGTTCCTTGCATCTGTCTGCAAATTGGG